CCCCAAAACCCCAAAACCCCAAAACCCCAAAACCCCAAAACCCCATATTTTTATTTCATGATTGAAAATAATTAGTCAATATCCACAAAGAGTTTTTTGTTTCACTCTTTTCAGTCAATTTGGACCCAAGTCATACCATGCTCTTCGTCTCTATCTATAGAAACTACCATTTTTGGAAATTCAGAGTGATAATCATCTGATGTGTCTAGGTGATGGATTTTCTTTTCTACCACTCTTTCAGAAAATTTTGGCAGTTCGAATCCCTTAATATCAGCAACATCAAGATCTATGCAGTTTGACTCTTCTCATGCAAGATAGCCTTGAACACACTGGATAATGCTTCCTCAGATGGGTCAGTTATACCTCGATTGCGAGTATCCTTTCTCGTCTGTGAAAGTATACATTGAATGACAGTCTTCCAACTGCAACTGTAGTTCTTCAATCTGCTGGAAATCTTCCATCAGTTCTTCATTTCCAAAGTCACTTCCCATATTGAAATCCTTTTTAGGACTGAAAATTTCAGATGCAGCGTCAATATTTTCAATTTTATAGTCAATTTCAGGATCATTTTCCACAAAATGTTCGTACTCAGTAAGAATTTGGGCTCAAAAATCATACATTTCTTCTGTATCAGCCTGGTTCTCCTCTTCGTAGAGTGCTTCTCAGATAATTTTCTCGTTTTCTGTTCTGTCAAGAATTGTCTGCTTTATGAAGTCAGAGAAATCATCTTCTGTTTGATCCTTCAGTCTTCTAAATATGGGTTGAGATTTTTGAGAAAAGAGAGTTTTGTGTGGGAAAATGTGATTTTGGAAGTTTTTGGGTATGGTAAGCCATAAATTTAGTCCTGAGTGATATTTATGACTAAAGATATTGAGAATTTAGGCATTGTAGGCCAAAGGTATAAATTTTTTGCTCTAAAGAGTTACATTTGTATTCTAGGAGAGCATTTTGAGTGAATTCAAGAATTGATAGCTAATGTTCTTTGAAATTGTTGATCAAAGAGACGACTAAGATAAGTAATTGAAATAAAGAAATCAGTGAATTCAAAAGAGGTAATATATAAATCTTGACCAAGATAAAGGACTAGAAGAGCCATATTTATAACTGAAAAGTCTAATAGTAGAGAAAAGCACCATAAAAGACTTTACCAAGATTTGAATTAATTAGAACATTCATTTCTACTTCACTAAAATACTCATAAATGTGTCTTTTTCAGCACCACACCCATCCTATCCATCATCCCTCTGCTACCACTGTCTCTTGCCTTTATCCTACCTACTCATGGCCTACTCTATTGCTAAACTACCTGTCTACGAATGCCCTACCTCTCTCTTGTCTTCTTAAAGATTTGCTGTCTTCTATTCTTAAGCCTCTCAAAAATCTTGTTCTTCATTTTCTGCATGTGGGTTGGCCCAACGTCTTGGAAAATAGAGATCCTTGGCTGAGCAGGATCATTCGTGCGTGTTGGAGTCTTGTTATACTTGTTAAACAGCATTTTTATCCGCAAAATTATATAATCAATCTTGGCTATTTATGGGGTTTTGGGGTTTTGGGGTTTTGGGGT